GTAATATATATATATATATATATATATATATATATACACATTAGTTCTTCTTCATCCACTTTAGAGGAGAAAATGGTTTCCTATACCACTTGAAGATAAATATCTTCAAACTTCCACTGTTAACTTCTAGTAGTAGCCAAAGATAAATTTAGGCAGTAACATGTCAAAGGCTAGACATCATGTGCTATTGTTTTTAAAGAAAATAAAATCACAACAAGAAAAAGTAACTTGAGCAATGGAGGTTTAAAAACTATTAAAATACAAACTGAAAAGTAAAAAAATCCAAAGTTTGAGAAAGGAAATGAATTTATTTAAAATAAAAGTAATTATTAAAAGAAAGTTATGGCCAAGCATGTCATTATATTCTGCTGAAGGCAAGTTGGCAATGCTAAAAATATTCTATAGACTTGTACCTAGAAGCAAAAGAAATATTACAGGATTAAGTCAGCAGCACAAAAGTTGTTTTTTGCATGAATTTTACCTAGGAAAAAAGAAAGGGATGGAAAAACATCAATAAAAATGTTTAGTATTAGTGCTTCATATTCGAGAAATGGGCAAGAGCTGTTTTGCTTGTTTTTTCCAGTTGTAGTTTTTATGAGGTTTGAATGTAGTAGAGGATAAGTATGTAGCAAATAACATACTGATGCTTGTATGGCCACTCCCTTGAAACAAAGTAGTTCAACAAGGCAACAACTAGGTTATGGTTAAAGTTTTTGAAATTTTTAAAGTATCAGTTAACACATCTATTAATTCTAAATTGATAAGGTATTGTCACGTATCCTTCAAATAATTTCAATAAAATGTTTATAATGAACTTTATGATACCACGCAAAAATGTAGTTCATGCTTGTCAGAAATGCTTTGATTGGTCTTTTGATCGCACTCGAGTGGCCAAGTGAGAGTGTATGCATATAAAAATAGTCACTGGAGGTTATAAGTACCATGTTGTTATGAAACCAAAATTTGTGATGTGATATGACTCAATTATTTCCAATAAATCTGTTGAGCGGCATGCATTTGTAGTGTCTATCTTGTCATTTATTGGCAAGGTTTGTAAAAAGCACTTGCCAAATGCCACTTACGGGTACTCGTAGGCACTATGGTGCCTGGTAAAAGGGAAGCACTGCAGTATTGTTAGCTTATGTAAGATAAAAAATAAACATATTCATAAAAGTTTAATTAAAACATCCAATAGTTGGTTTAACTAGCTTCTCATATCTCATTTTTGCATTAGGATAATAACATCAGATTATTGAGCTGCTAAAAACTTTTGTTAGTGGAATATGTGAGTGTGTGATGATACACATACGACTTGCACACTACAGTTTAGTAAAGAGCATTCAATAATAATGAAAATATGACATTGTACTTATAATATTGATTTTTTTTTTATCTACTGAATTTTCAATATTCCAAGTTATTAAAAATGGAGTTTAGTTTTACATGCTTTATTACCTTCTTGTTAAAATCTAGTTTAATTAAAGAGTTTTCTATTATATCTAATATCTTTTAAGAACTATTAATGCTTTACTGTATTTTTTTAAAACACTTATTACATATTCATAAGCAGTGATAGTTTAATTGAAAAGCATCGTAAATACAGGAGTTGTTCTCATTTCTGTAGAATAACAAGACATGGCTCATCACCAAAATTTCATGTATCCACATGTGACACAACATGAACAACGAGTTGGTAAGTTTTAGCATTCAGTATATGAATGTAGCAGGCATTATGCTTGTTGATATTTATAGTGTGTCTTGTGGTTTACAAATATAAAAAATATATTAACATGCATAAATGCATTTGTAAAAAAGAAGTTACTATGGAAATAAGAATTACTGTACTGAAATGTATGCGAGTAAGAACACAGAAATGCTGTGTAATTATACCATGGTTGGTAGTTGAAAATTAGATTCTTTACAACATTTATACAAGTAATTTTTGTAACTCTTTAGGTAATGCCAGACAACACCGAGTTAGTGGCATTCAACAACTTTGGAAGTCATATTGTAAGTTTCTAGATTTTATTTTTTATAACTTAAAATTCTTATTTAAATTTTATGGTTAATACATAGTATAATTTCTCAGTGTTTAATTAGTTACAGTAAAATCTTTTGTTTAAATTGTATTATTTTTAAAAGGTGGAACTAAAATTTTTGTCATTATAAGGGTACATAACCATCTACGTTATTTAATTTCGGATACAAATAGCTTTTCTTGACTTAAACTTCCCACTATATGCAAAAATGTTTGCATGGAACTAGCATTGATACTCTCACTTATCCTCACATGTATTCATTTGAGGCATCTGCATGCTATTCAAATTATCATGCAACAATCCTCCACCAATAGGAGTATGACATAACTCCTATCATCACTAGTACCCTCTTTTCTGCACAGCCCATAATCATTCTTGATTGGCAGGCTAACTGTTAGGATGTGTTTTTGCTTGTGTTTTCAGACTGAAATTCAAACTTAATTGATCAAGTTTACTGCTTTTTATTTGGTCATGTATTTTTTTCAACTGTAATTTTTTTGGATTTTTAACATTTTTGCAACTTTTGTTTGGAGAGAAAAAAAAACTTTTTTTTTCCAGTCAGCTACATCAGTTATGCACTCGCAATTCCACATGGCAATTATTACAGCTGATTTGCCAGCCACTTCAATTCTATTTGAGCAAGCTTTATCTGCTCAGAAAATAATGGCTCTGGTTTGTAGGGAATTGGCTACTTTTATGCAGTCTTCTGAGTCACCTGATGATTGGCCTCACATACCATGCGAGGGTTTGCCTGAAAGTATTTCCTTCTCCTGCCTATGCCTCACAGTTGTGAGTTGTTTCAGGGGAGGTGCCCAGACCTTCTATTCCATTTGTATACTTAATCAATCAAGTATGTTATGTTTTATCTATATCACCCATTTTCTCTGATCCTACTCCTGCCCTTCTTGGGTCAGTACTTAGTGTTTCCACCATCTCCGAATATTGGGGCTCATGTAAGCAGTTTTGGGGACCAGTTGCATTCAGGTGTTAGTATGCCTTGATCCCCATGTACTCTTGAAGAACTATTGTTTGCATTACCATGTACATATATAGTTTTATTATTATTTTATAGGTATGTAAATTGAAAAATGACAAGATACAACAGAATATAATTTTAATGTTAAAGCAATACCTTAAAATGTACTTTTTTTTCAGTATTTCAACTTCAGAGTCAGGCACCTACTCCAAAAAGAATAGTGTGTACCCGAGAAGTAAGTAAAACATTCCTTATTATAGAAATTTTTACCTAAGGTTGATGCTCAGTTTCAGTGTAGTCTTTATTAGGCAAACATTTATTGTTTTTGAAAGAATGCTTGTACTTCTCTTAATACTGTCAAACAAGAATTCAAAATGTTTGAACTTATTTTTAATGGAATCTAGAATTTTTTTAATTACAAAAAGTTATTATGGAGTAAACATACATAGTAAAATAAAAACAAGAGGGAATCCTCAATAGCCACGGTACTTGAAGTTCTTTTAGGCAGGATTAGAGTAAATTAATCTATGAAACCTTTTTTTCCCTTTTTATTAGCTATATTTTTGTGCACTAGCAATACCAAGTGTGAAGTGCGTGTATACCTGATTTTATTTTATTACTCATCAGGATCTATACCAGCCCACCCTCAAATTAAAATTCGTTTAGGCAGGATTAGAGTAAATTAATCTATAAGACCTTGGGTATGGTCAAATACATCACACGAATGTGTTTGACCTCCTGAGTCCAAAACTGTAATTATATCTCAGTTTGGTCGAGATGACAGAACTATGAGCTAAACATTCGTGATTGAAAAAAAAAACAACTTTGAGCCATTCTATGAGTCGCTATGCTGCAGCAAAAAAACCATAGCAAAAAGTAGAACACAGTCTGTACTGTCTAACAGCAAGGATTCATCTGAGGTTTTAGATGTTAAGACACATCAGAAAGCATCTTGAATTGGATGATGCGATATGATGTACCAAGATTGGCTTGGTAGTAAGACTAAAGGAGAATGACATTGTAGTATGTTAGGGTGCACAAGAAAAACTTGTTAAACCACATATTCGTGAGAGGATGGCAGCAAAAGTTTAATTACTGGTGCAGACCAATCAAAAAAATTTCAGTAAGTAAAGCAAAGCATATAGTGATGCAGAAAGTGATATCAAGTTTGAAATATATAATGTAGTCTTAAACTACTTTCAGTAGAGTAAATGAGTTATCTATAAACTATGTCAGTACATTTTCATAATGTTTTGTATTTTATGGTTTTAGCTTGAGAAGGATGCTTTTAAGTGCTATTGTAAAAATAAAGATATGAAATTTTCTTAAAATGTTAGCATTTTATTGTGTGTTTGTGCTTTCAAACTTCTAAAGAGAATAAACATCGTTTTTTTATCAAGATATTAACATTTGAAAACACTTCATAATTACTTAGGTTATAAGTAAAAAATAACAATAATAATGACAATATAATATGAACTAAGAGCTATCACATTTACATTACTTTTGTCTATTCAAACATTAAAAATTTCTACAGTGACAGGAACAAGTCAAAATACAAACAGACAAAAAATTCATTTTAGACATTTAACTACTAAAAAGTGACATCCAGTTCACACAGTATTTGGATACAATTTAGTGATTTGGCCAAGAAAGACCAGCTAAGAGAAGAATTTTTCTTTATAGCCTACTTAAAATTTTTTCACCATAATTATTAAACTGTAAAAATTTCTGTAGTTCAATCAATTTAAAAACGTTTTGGTATAATTAAGGCTTACTTTTTGAAATATAATTTACCTCTTGGTAAATAGATCTGGAGTAGATTGTTTTGTAATTTGGATCATTGTTTTTTACTGCAGAAATAGGTCTAAGAAGCAAAATTTCTTAACAAACTAAGTAGAAAGTATTTACTTGTATGAAGTAGAGAATGACTTATACCGATAACTCAATTCAAACTGATGAATGGCTGCAAAGATTATTTATAGATAAAGAAATATTTGAAGAATATTCAAGTACTAAATCTTGGTATTAAAATGTATTATAGTACCTACATAATTAATCTTAAAAATCATAAGCTTTACAAACTAATTTTTACAGACAGCTACCAATGAGAACTAGATCACCCGATCTGTGTACAACTTTTATAAAAAGCCCATGATCTCAAGTCTAACAACAAAAAAAGTTTAGTTTAGAAGGACCAGAGCCACTACTAACACACACAAAAATTATTTCACTGATTAATTTTTTGATAAATGAATCCTAACCTACTTATTGTTCTGTAAATTCCAAAGAAGAAAATTGTTTATTCTGTATTAGTCTGGTTTGCAATTAGAATTAAAGTAGTCTTTTTTTTTATAGGTTCTTTATAGACCTCTTCATTATGGAAGAGAGTAAGTATCAGAAATATTTAATTTATTCCTTTATTTTCTAAAAACATAACTTTATCATGTTGGAATGTAATAACTGAAATACACAGAAAGTCAATATTGTAGATTTGTGTGTGTTTTATTCCTGTAAAATAAAGTGTAGTAAACATATAAATACATCAATGTTTTTAGCATTTCTCATGAAATAAAAGAACTTAAAAAATGTAGGTTGACTTTAGGTTTTATTTAATTTTTTTCTTGCTGTTATGACCACACACACACAGAAATATATATATATATATACCAGCTGGTGTACCCATTTGTTGAATGGGTGAAATAAAAACTCCAAATTCTTCCCTTCGTATCATCCTGTATCACTGTGTCAAGTTTTGTGCTGATTGATCAATTAATTAATTAATTAATTTTAATAGAATGTTGATAAATAACCTTATCTTTGGTAAGGGATTTTTAGAAGTATTTAATTATTGTATTTTGGGTCAAATTTTGCTGTTGCCAATATACAGTCACAAACAAAAATATTTCAGCAATTGAAAAAGAGAGAGAAAAACCAAAAGGAAGGTGGTTCCTATGTTTCTAATTTTTCTGTTAAAAAACATAAATTAGAGATTCAGATAAAACAAAACATTATGGCATGAAATGCAAAATAACATTCAAAAACTAATTTTGAACTTTAATAAAAATATTTGGGTAATTAATGACAATTATCATGATTGAAAACCAACATCTGATGATAAATGTAGAATAAATAATTACATAATTATCAATCACTGAAAAGTAAATTGGAAACTTGTGATACAAAGAAAGCAATGAAAATTATTTAAACTAAAGAGTACTGTGTAGGCTATTACTGACAAACACAGGAGAACTGGAACTACTGCAACTAACTCCAGGTGTGGTAGACCAAGCAGAAGTTTTATGACATCTGGAAAAATCATTTAACCTGATTTCTCTAAAAGAACAGGATGTTTAATACAAGGCAGTGCCTGGATTTTTTCTACCTTTGACTTAGTCTTTACACAAAAAGAAAGGAACTGGATTTAGGGTGTAAACAATCACAATCATTATTATGAGAAAAACAATCAAAGTCAAGCTCAAGTTAAGTTCAATGCTTGAACAAGTGCTTATGTTAACTAGGGAGAGAGAGAGCTTTATTTGTACTCTATCTCCTCTCACTAATATACCTCTAGTTTTATGATGCTAAACATAATCTAGGTGTTTAAAGAATAGTATACCTTACTCAAAGATATCTATAAGTAAATTCTCAGTACAGTCTGAACTGCTAAATCTGGTAATCTGTATGTCGAAAGCATTCTATGGAATCTTAGAAAATCCTAGTAAATCTAGCTTAATATAATCCACAAGATATGTTTGTATAGGAGATGAATAACATTAATTTAGCTCGGGTGATCATGGGTGCTTCAGAGAGACACTGTACTCCTTCTTAGACCCGATGATACATGAGGTCTACTGTTTATATACTAATCTTGATACCCAGCCTAACTTCTAGACTTTTTGTTTTAATTCACATGGCTTGGAGACTTCCCCTCTGCTTTTCAGAAGTTCCAGTTAATTAGCCAAGTTCTTCCATATGCCTTTCCCCTCTCACCAATATTTTTTCTTGCCACACCAGCATACCCTCTCCTAGTAGTTAAGAAGTAATGTAGTTAATGTAAGCAACCAACAAGTAAAATAACCTCTTTTCTAGAAAGTTCTATTGATTGTTTGAAAATTAGGTAAATACAGTAATATCCAGTTTAGCACTCAGGAAGGGTTCCTGAGTTCTAAACGAGTCAGCTCTAAACAGGGTCATTTTAACATTACATATATGGAGATATGTAACTGAAGGCATTATTTCTTACCTGTGAATAATGCATAAATGCTTTATTTAGGTACTGGTAAATTTAGTGGAAATTACTCACTATATATTGTCACTGGAAAAAAGCTAATTTTTATTAGCTTTCTATCTTGTTTGGTAACAGAGCCATCAAATAGAAAATGAGACCCCTCCTGCCATGCCTAGCTGTCACATCCTGTCTTTCAGGATTTGTCAATATGTTTAGTTCTTTCTTTTGTTTATGACTATATTAGTTATAACCAATAGACAGGCAAGGTTTTTGTCTATCAAATTGCATATTATATTTTGTTGTTTTCTGTACAGAGGGTTGTAGATAGCTTTCTAAGAAAATGTGTTTTTCCCCCACGGGAACAATATTGTGTAGATGGATGAATTTTGTGCTGCTAGAAATGCCAGAAAAATTGTAATAGTTGTTTGACATTGTCTGGTTTTTGCATGTTATTATTTCTATGTTCTTTGTTGCATTATTTTATAAAATAAAAATTATTTAGTGCACTACCACCATTAGTATGAAAACATAGTGTTCAGAGACTTGTAGATTTTCATAGTTTTTTTTCTCTCTCATGAAACAAAACATCTGAAGGAGACAAGAGCTATATAAGGAATCAGATTAAAGTGGGATGGTGCTAAGCAGGGTCCTACTGTATATCTGCACACTTCTTTATGTGGTTATTCTTCATAAATGAAGGGAAAACCTTAAATAAATAATAATAATTAAATCAATAAAAAGCACTAGTTCAGGTTTTAAAAAAATGGCTTTTCTCACCCATGGTTCTTTATCTCTTGTCCACTGTAGTTGTACTGGGCTAGTCACACTACTATGCTTTTCTGTTGCTGCTGTACATTTAACAGCTATATACAATAAAATAATACTAAAATGTGTCTTGTAACTTATATTTATTTTATTGTGGACAAATGTTAATATTGTTGTATGAGTTTATTGTGACTAATTTTACAGGCTTGTTAATGAATGATTATGCTCATAAGAATATCAAGACAGCATTTTCTTTAAGCTAAAGGTTATTTGCATAAAGATATTTATGTGATCAAATATATTAAATGAGAATCTTCCTACACAAAAGTTAACATGTATTTTCATGGTTATATTAAGAATTGTGTAATTCAGTATAAGGAACACAGAAGGAAGTCACATTTGTTCTTGTTAGCATTATTTTGATGACTATTAAGAAATGTACAGCTGACAGAAGAGAAAATCACCATATGTTATTCAATGTTGAAAACTAAATAGTCAGTGACTGATTTACTTATTTGATTTATAACCAACTTTTCTTAGTTGATTTATCACATAAGCAGTGAGAATAATAAATTAATTTTGTTTTCATAATATCTTTGTTTTTATGATATTCAGTATCTCCACACATCCCTATAACCTTTCACGAGCACTACTATAATTCTCAAAATTAGATTTGTACATGACTATAAGTTTTGAGTTCATGTATTAGGAAAAAATGTACAAGATTTCAGAAATAATATACGTGATACATAAATTTTATTTACTACTTAATGAAAACAAGTTTTAACAGTAAATTTCAGTCAGGTTTGGAATTTTCTGATACAAAAATTATGAAAAGAGTGTCATTTGGAATTATGAAACACTAATGAAAAATTTGTATACCTTATTTGTTTCATGAAAATTTGCATGAGAAGATAATAAATAGTTTTGTTTGATGTTTTATAATTAGCTTAGCTCATCCTTGTCCAAGAGAATCATCAAAGTATTTAGTTTTATTGTTCATACCATTTTAAGATATTATTAAGCAGTGAAATAGATACAGGGAAATTATTTATGGATAGCATTAATCTGTAAGTCTGATGCAAATGATATAATATGAACTGTGCCGAGTCACTTTAAAAAAATCCCAAGCAATTTCTATCCATAAATAGTGTTCCTGTTTAGAACACAAACACCACTTCACCAATTGAATTATTCTAGAAATTTGCTGTTTTTTCATAAAAACAAACAAACATAATTTCTAACCAGCACTTGACTTTTTGAATTATGTATAAGATTAAAATTGTAAATAAGATGATGCAAACATAATGTTTTTAATTACATTTAGATTTCATGGAAGAATTTCAAGGGAAGAAGCAGACTTTTTACTTCAGGAAGGGAATGGCTGTTACCTTGTACGAGAAAGCCAAAGAGCACACGGCCAGTATACATTAGGTCTTAGGTAAGGTGGTGGTGATTGTTTTTTAAGTTTATAATTTTAGCTTTGTCATGACTAGTTATGTACACCTGAGGATGGTAGTTCAATAAAATATATTTTAGTATGTTGTCAATTTTTAATCAGCTTTCTTCAAGATTGGTAGCTTAGTCTGGGTAACTGTGAGAGAACTCAAAGACTTCATTATCTGCTTTGTTCCTGGATTGCCACAACAGTTCTTTGTCAGTTTTTGAGCATTTAAGTTCTCTTAAAATTTTCAAACTGAAAGGTTTATTTAAAGTTCTCATAAAGTCAAACAAATTGTGTGATCTTTGTTCATTTTACTTAATTGTTTACATTTCAGTTGAACAAAAGTAGAAAATTTTGAAATGTGCAGAAGCATAAGTATGTGCTTAATTGTGCAGAATTTTATCTCAATACTTTCTGTATATTTCGTCCCCTATTTTAGCATTCATTAACTTAATACTTTCTTTGTCATTTTTCCCTTGCTAAATTTGGAAGTAGTCTAGCTTTTAGTTTTGTGGTATTCTTATGTACAGTTATTAACTTACAGGTAAGAATAGTGACTGCAATAGCAAGAGGAATAACAGGAAATGAATTGTGGGATTAAATCTAAATTTCTGATTTCGTCTGAGTTGAAGAAAAAGATCAAACACAATGTAAGAATAAAATGAAAAGTAATTTTTTATTAGACTGAAAAAATCAAAGATAGGTGAGTGCACTTTACTTACAGACAGTATTAACCTCTTTCCTTTGAAAGATCTCGGTGTCAGATGTAAAGTTACAGAAAATCTAAAAAGCTAAATGAAACCAAGAATATAATGACTATCTACAAAACACATGAGTGTCATCTTTCTTAGAGTGCATGTATTATCTACATCATGTCTTGCCAGTCCATCAGCAGTAATAGGGAGGACATAACCTCTAGGTGTCACAAAGCTTACCACACAATCAACTGAATGTACATAGATTGGTCCGATGGGTTTACCCCATATTAGAGAAGTAATGTTTACAATAATTCTGAATTTACAAATGTTTCATCATAATATGTGGCAAGTTTTTAGTAAACAGCATGAGTCTGCTGTAAACAAATATCTGATGTGTTACTAAAGTTTTTATACTAAAAATATGCTTGTAAAATGCTGAAATCAACCTGGCTAAGACTCTGACAAGGTGGAGTTCATGTGAAAATTAAAAATACTTTGACCTTTTCTTTGAGAAAATTTAAGTGGCATCAAAGGGAAATGATCTAGGGCAGGAACTAGAACACTAGAAACCTATCCATAATCGACAACTAGTTTCGTTAATATAAAACCTATTAAGCACCTGTTTGCACATATATGTGAATATTTCAAACATTTTAGTGAGGTTTTCATGTTCACCTGTTTAAACTAAAATGAAATAAAAACACCCGGCATGTTTTACTTACTACAGTTGCTCATCATTAGGATTGAGTCCATAATAAAGTGTAGTGTTTTTATTTTAAACACAATAACAGTAGTAAGTATTTTAATGTTAACTAGGGAGAAATCTCATGCCTCTCATACAACATTTTTGCTGTTGTGATATCTTGTATTTGGATACACAAATTTTTTTAAATGTAAAGGCAGTGCTGTGTATTCAAAGTAAATAAAACAGTTAAGGACCTGCCTAGAGTATTCATGTTTGAGGTTACATAGAATTCTGAACGAATCTGATAGCCGTGCAGGGTGTCTTAACAACTGCAAAGTTAAACCTATTCCACAACATGCAATACCTACTAAACATCTCTAGTACAAAAGACACTTTGAGCCCAATGGTGTGATTGACTTATCTAATAAGACACCAAAGCTAGCAACACTTTCTAAACCTGGGTGTCACAGGCAAGTATTAAAACTCACCAGGGTAACAGTATCAGTACTTTTAATTGTTTATAATGAAATGAAGAAATTCACACGCAACCTTAACATACCAACACTTCTGTCTGAGATAAGAGCACTGAGAGGTGACAGATCCATTCCCCAAATACCTTTTCCTCAGTGCATAGTACTGTCTACACCCACCCCTCCCTTATACATATGGTGATGTTGTCCATACTTTCCTACTTTTAATTTAATTTTTGCCTAGTTTAATGAACTTTAAAAAAGCTTCCCATGCACTCACTTTACTCTTTTAATTATATACATGCTTAGTATTAAAATTTTGTGTTTGGTAAAAGCAATTAACATTTAAAAATACAGTTCAGTTTTAAAATTTTTAAAGTTCACTGTCAACATTTCATTGAGAGTATCAGAATTTAAAATTATATTTTAGTTTTGGGGTTGTCTGTTTGAAAATTTCCTGTCTTTCTTGTGATAGCTTAAAAAGATCTTGCATGGGACTAACATAATTTGATGCTGTAGTAGTCTGTTTTAAGACTTAATTGTGGTTTTATGATCAGTTCTGTGTACTTTTTGTGTCATTGCAAATAAAAATTATTTTTATCAAGCTTTGTAAACTGTACTTGTCCCTTTGTTTATCACTACATCCTCCACTTTCCCTTTCAAAAATTATTTCTTGTGAATTCCCTACCTGACTTCTTGTAAAATCATTTGTCTCTTTATAAACAGTATAAAGTAGGTTGAATCACTTTTGTTATTACATGAATTTTTTAATGCAAATTCAATATAGATTGTTATCCATGGTACGTTCTTTTTCTGATAGCTATTTAGCTGAAAGTTGAAATATTTTAAAATAAGAGTATCCGATTGCTTGGGTAGAAAATACGCAATAAGTGATATTTTACAAAACATTGAAAGTTTTACATTTTAACAAGTCTTCAAAACATGAAATATTTAAACTTCAAAGTTTGGATGAATTTTCTGAAACTTATAATGCACTTATAACAATAAGTTTTAATTATGCAATTTATATCAATTACATATATCCATAAGCTTGCAAATCCCATACAACTTCATTTGGCATAGAAATACTGGTTAGTGTAATTTAGGAAACAGTTTCTTGAGTTTGTTTTCATTTTACAAAAAAAAACCCTACTTCATCAGGTTTGAAGGAGTGACAAAAAACTATCGGCTGTATTATGATGGCCAGCACTATGTGGGTGATAAAAAATTTGACACCGTTCAGGACCTTGTTGCTGATGGTTTGATTACTTTGTACCTAGAAGCCCATGCAGGAGAGTATATTGCAAAGATGTGTGTTCAGTCCAGGTATGAACAGAGTCCCTATGTAACATTGAACTCATACAAAAGGAAGCTTCGGAATATTAAGAGTGAAAAGCGACGATGTATTTCACGTCAGGGAAGCAAAAGTAATAGCCTAAAATCAGCAAGTGGTTCTGAAGATGGAGTTGTTGTAAGTTTTTCTAGTTTGTTGGTTGATGTTAATAGTTACTTAAATATATCTACCCAACTGTGGTTTCTTATGATAAGTTTTGAAATATATTGTTTTTTTTAATACTTACAGATATTTATTTATTTACTATCTCTCTCTATATATATATATACATATATATATATATTTTTTTTTTTTTTTTTAAAGACTAATTTAGAGGAAAATTATTCCTTTTTTGTAATTCCTAAAATTTCATATTGACATCAGCATCAATCTGTCAGTCATCATACGTGTTAAATGGTCAATCTGAGAAAAAAAACTTAAGAACAAAAACATTTCTTTTTCTGAGGTAATTTCCCTGAGAAAAAAAAAACTTCCTCCATCAACTGTTTGAAAGAAATATTTTCATGATAAGAGCCCAAACAGAAAAAAATACATAAGGAGAAAATGTAGTAGTTGTTCAGTTTATATATATACATAAATATATGTCTTTTTTTCATGTTGGTATCATACACATAGATGTTTTTATTGTACCATGTCAAGTAAATTTACTGAATATTGAATATCTCCCCTTTGAAACTTCTTGTAGAAATTACAACTGTCAAAAAGCACTCACTTTGGCAGGAGTCTTTTCTTGTGCTCAGTAAAATGACAGGGAATGGTGGGATCCAGTGGAAAAAATCCTAGCAGTTATTTAGCAAATCTAAGCACTCTAATGTACTGGATGCACTCATTGTATTCAATCTCCTTTGCTTAAAAACATGTGTAATTCAATTTTCATTATTGAATAACATGTTGAATCACTAAAGATTATTATAAACAGTCCATTAGACATTCATATTAGGTATACACTGATCCAAGGGATTGGGTTGATTGTACATTTTATAATTATTCGTCACTATTTTTAGGAAAAATTACCATTGAATTGTTTCAACAGGCATCTACTAGTAACTATAATTATGTGTTACATGATTTGGTCATGAAGTGTCATTGTTCACTTACATATATGTTAATCACTATATTAGACTACAAAGCGAAAAGGGGATTGAAAGTTCATGTAGGCCTAAGTAGAAGTATGACTAGTTTTAGATTATTTACCTGTTTTGATATGTGGAAGATGTGGAACATTTTTGGCAGATATCTTTCTGGATTTCCGGTCTTTCATATATGTAATTAATTCAAATTTAATCATTTTCATTTCTACAACAAATCAGATTTTTTGCTTTCTTTCTTGTCAACAAGACTTTGAAGCATTTGTCAATCTCTTAAGATCAGAAATAGAATTTATAGATAAGATGTACTAATTTGAAAACATGTTGGAAATCTTCCATCAGTGACATGAAAGAAAAAAGAAGTGGAAGATTAGGACCACATATTTAGTTATTAAAATAACATAACCAAAAAATTTGAAAATTTGACTAAGAATTTGGAGGAGCATTACACCTATGTGCATTCTGTGACCTTGTACAGAATGCCATTCGACATGGTATAATGTATTTGATGTCAGAATTACCAACATTTCATTTTACTCATCATTGCTGATTTCACAACAATTTGTGTTAGAGTAAAGAAAATACCAAATCCATATACAAGGATACTAAAAGAACAACACCTAGATATGCATTTAAAAGGTTGTTAAGTTTACTATAGTCCAACAATGCACAAAAATAAAATAGTTTATTACTTGTTGAAAAGAAACTGTCTTTGTTAGATGTAAATTGATCTGAACCAAGAATATTCTTAGCATATATCACAATACCTAGCATGAGAGAGGTAATTATGATACCATTTTGAAAGGTCCAGAATTATGCAATAGTTTTCATAATTTCTTTCAAGGATTGGTGCCTACAGTAATCAGTAAAATAAAGTATTAAATATGTTGATGAATATTAATTAAATTGAAACTTACTGAATATAGAAAATGAAATTTTTTAGTTAACAATAAGAAAAGTGAATACTAGTTAACACTTTAGCTGCTGCAATGCTTGGCATCTTCGGTAACAAGTTTTAGTTCAGTATTATTGTGTTTTTAATTTAAACAATAGTAATAACAAATCTGAAACATGTAATCTTTAACTTTTTATATTTATGACACGTGTGTATCCTCAGCAGGAAATGTGTTAATTGATTTCGTTTACCTTTTCCAACTCCTATCACCACTTAAATAAGTGGTTGCACCCCTCTTAGTTCACATGATGCTCTAAGGACTACTTAAACCCTTAGAGGCTTTAGCATAGGGAGAAAAATCAAATGAAGACATTCAAATTTAAGGCTGCTACATAGGTTCAAAATTGATGGCAAATGCAGATATTATAATTTCTCACCAAAGATTGTTCCAATCCATCATTGTGGGTGGCAGAAAAGATTAACCTTCTTAATAGTGTTTGTGTGAACAAGTTATGAACTAGAAAAAAATAGTAACTGTCAAAATTGTTATGAGGTCTTGAAAATTTAAAGAAGAAACAGTATTTTGCAGTAGCATGTTTTTAAGCATATTGTATTATTTTGTAATAAACCTATTATAATTTATTTTCTTTCGTGGTACATTGAAAGGTATTGTAGATGTAAAATTTAGATTTGCATAAACATTGATAATGCTAGTATTTGGAAGAATACTATACAATTTTTGAGTATTATCAAGACACACAGAAGTGTTGTATGGCCAAAACAACCTGCTACAGGACACACAGTTATTAACAGAAGTGATAGTTTAGCAATTTTCCACCTTCTGTATCTCAGACTGGTAATCCAAACTATCATATATTTTCAGTGGATGTGCTCTACTGGACTCTTAATTCACATACCAAATTTCAGGGCAATCCATTAAAAAATACTTGAGATATAATATCTTCAATTTTGATTGAGTTTCTTCCTTTTTTTTCACACCAGAAATACTGAATCTTTATTTGATAGAAAAACATACTTAACTTTTATGGATTTTTTTCAGTGTTGGTACACTGATAGATTTTTTTAACCTACAATTAGGAGTCTCATTTGGTGTAAATAAAAGCCACATGTGCAAAGTTATTCAACAAAACTGCTCAATTTTGACCAAATTTTGTGTACGGCTATGCAAAAAGTCACATCAGCTATTGGTCTAAATTTTTTACTAGAACTTTGCTTAAGAGTAAAAGTGGACCGTTTTTAGCTTTTTGTCATTTGAATTAAAGATGGCTGATTTATAGCAGCAAAACTATAAGGTGAAAGAACTTATAGATACATAAGTATTGGTTAGGCTAAGCAAACTAGATTAGCAGTTTCTAGCTCAAGTTTTCAAAAGAATCCTTATTTACTGAATATTGTTGTTAAGTTGATCATATTCAAACAAAGTAAGTAACTTTTTATTTATAAAAAATTAATTATTATTTTTGCCACTAGAGAATGAAGGTAAAATATCAATAGAAGAACGATATGTCACCTTTTTATGCATGTGAAATATCTATTTACAGAGTCAAGTGTCTTCTATGGATGGTTCCATCACTGGTGATCTTAATGTTCATCATTTTGAAAAGCCCCATAACTTTAAGGTAATCTTTCATATTTGTTGCTTTTCATCTGCTTAAAACAAGAACTCCAGTTCAGTTTTACAAATGTACACACACATATGGATAATCAAAAGTCCTGATTTTCTCCATTTTTATGAAGAAGCTGTGAAATATTAAAAATCTACTGACATTGGGTGTTTAGGCATATTTGGGGCCATTTGTTACCTGACATTTATTGACAGCGCAGGCTGGCCCTATGGTAAAGCTATGTTATAAGAGTGACAGTTAATGCTTTAACGTTGGTGGTGGGTAGTAGGGTGCTGCTGACTGGTTGCCTAACCTCTAGTCAATAGTTCAAATTCATGAATGGCCTTAGACAGTCTTAATAACTTTGTCATAAATACCAAGCACAAATCAAGGTCATCCAAATGCCATGTCTGAAACTATTAGTCTTGTGTAATATATATCGATATGAAAGTTCTGGAGTGCAATAGTATTATACCAGAAAAGTTGCTTGTTTATTCAAATTTACTCCCCTGAGTTTATCAGGAAATGATAATCTGCAAAATTAATTTAACTTAAAAAATTCTCAGTGTGCAGACCTGCAGAAATACGTACATGTGCATAATGTTTTATGAGCTGTTGAACATTTGAAAGAGTTCCATGAGAATATCAATACATATCACCCAAGTCTGACAGAGTTGTTGTGGGTGTGGCATACACCCAATCTTTGTTGTAACCCCATAAAAAAAGACAGCGGTGTTAGGTCTAAGATTGTGTAGGCCAAAGCACAAGCCAACTCTTCAATTCCATTGTCCTGAAAACACCATTTAACTAGTTGCAGATACAGCCAGCACAATGGGGTGGTTCACCATCTAATTGATACCACATCCTCTGGTAAGAATCTAGGGGTAAATCATCAGAATATTCAATCACAAGACCTTGCAAAGTCAACTGCAAAAAACAATCCGCTATTAATTTCCTGCTATAGAACACTGGTCCATTAATGTGACACACTAGAGGCTGCACCATACATTAGTACTCCATTATACCTGATGGTAATGTTGCTGCTGTCAATGTGGATTATTAGATGCCAAATAGGGAACATTATGGGTGTTAGCCACACCATTCTGTGAGAGCTGTACTTTGTCAAACCACATTATGTGTGCTAGAAACTGTGGATCTTCAACCAACATTATGAGGAGCCAATTACAAATGTCCAATCATAGCTCATAGTCTTTCCGCTCAACACTTTGATGACAGTAGACATGGTAAGGATGAAACTCATAGTGATGTAGTAAATTTATTGCTGATCTTTGGCTAAGATCGCTTTCTGAGACAATAACTCTTGTGCTGGTGAAGGGGTTGAAAATACCTGAAGCAAATAATGCTGCAATGTTGTCATTATTTGTAGCACTTATGGCCAGTCTGACTGCTGTTGTGGTGTGATAGAAACTATTTATTGAAGATTGTGAACAATGCATAAATTGTGGATGTATTTTTGTGTTGCTGTCCAGAAAATATTGCTGCACATTTTCTTGCTGGTGCTATAACATCCCGTTGACATTCTCCATAAATAACATAATTTCAGTACATTCAGCATAAGTGTACTTTGCAAAGTTCTATGGATAATTGCTTCTCTGGGTTGTAAGGAATATTTCATACTACTTTATTTGGACAGTACATGAGGATGGTCAGAGTGGTAAAATGAGTATAGAACATGAAGAAGGAAAGGGAAATTGGTAGATGTTGATTTGCACAACTTTATAACTTAACCTTTATGAAATGGAAATATTTTTGATTTGAAAAATAATGCAAATTTAGGCAAAACCAATAAGGAAAATAATGTTTCTGGGATAATATCATTATGTGCTACAACTTTTATATTGATGAATCTTACCTCAGACTGATAGTTTCATAGATAGCATTTGATTGAACTGGATTTGACCTTTTTATCATGACATTGTGTCAGGTAATAAATAACCCTCAGTATGTCTAAAACACAATGTCAGTGGATTTAATATGCTTTGTCTTCTCCACAACAATATACTGTATGTACTCTCAATGATTTGAAGACAAACATTGTTAGTTTCTTTACTTGCTAGGTCTAGTAACTAATAATTAAATCATCTCCTAGGTTTTTCTGTAAAAGATACAGAGTTATGTAACATTAACAGATAATAAGCTTTACATTATTTGTTGGTTCCATTCCCTCCAAAAAAGTGATGAAAATTTTTGTCTTTGTTGTTTCAATGTGTGTCAAATTAATTGTTTTGAAATAGTTTTTTTATAGTCAAAGGCCATTTCAGTAGTACAATAAAATTTTACAGTTTTCAATATACATATTATATATTTGAAGTTAAATATTTTAATGATGTTCAATCAGTTTTCTCAGCTCTGAAACTTCAAAGAACTTATCACCAAAGTGATAATTCAGTGTACAGTATCATAATATGTTGTACTGTGGAATGGTTTATAAGATTCCAGCATAACAGTGGCAAAAGTTAAAAAGACTGTAAATTTATATCCTTACGACCATGTTATTTAGCCCAGTCATGTCCCATTGGGTGCATGCTGCCTTGAGGGCAAAATTGCACCATTGAATTAAAAAATAAACTTGTAGTCATTCTTCAAAGTTGAGTTGAAATTTAAAATAACATTTTTATTTTATTTTGGGTTGATTTTAGGCATTCTGAATAACAACGTTAGTACTTATGAAATTTCTTGAATTGTTTCTTAGTATAATATGGTGCTCATAGTCCCCCAAAAAAGTCATTATAGTTTTGAACAAAATAACACTAATTTGACCTTGTAACTTGAATATAAGTTTTGTTTTATAGGTTTTTTGCCAAACACTATTGTTACACAATACATAGTTCGGCTGTTGCTACTGTTTAAGGCCCAGTTTTGCATTCCTTGATTAGTATAGTGATATGTACATCTTTTTTTATATTATTAAGAAAATATGTCCTAGAATTGATCACTTCATTCTGTAAAAGAGATTTACCTTTGATGATAAAAATTTACTTGACAATTAGTAAGACTTTCTGAATAAGTTTAAATGGAGGTTGAACCTGTAACTCACTAATCTTGTAGATATTTTAGCCAGTTAAGCTAACATGTTTAAAACTGTGAAAATCCATTTTCATTTCATTGGTTTTTAGTGATGGAATTTTTGAACTTTGAGAAACTGCACGTAAAGCTCAAATTGCTATGTTTTTTTTGGTAGTGCTAATTTTAAGGATGATATGTTGTTCTGTAATGTTAGAATTTTTCTGAAGAAATGGAATTGGATAGAATTCAAACCCATAACCAGTTAAGCTAATACATCTTGAATGCTACCACTTGAAAGTGAAATTCACCAAAGTCTTAGCCAGTTATAAGAGAATTTAGGTTATTTTCATTACTGATGTTACATCCTGGGGTAATTAAAATCTATAGTTAAACTCACTTAGTTGATAGAGTTTAAACTGTTAACATTTATGCACATGCTTTCATTTATTTTTAATTCATATATATATCTCTGAAACAATAATACATCTTAATTTTGGTTGGTATTTAAGGAAAGAAATTGGTAGCCACATATTAGAGCTTTTAGGTCTGGGCTTTAGCTGTTTGTGATTTATAAATGCGTAAATTATAGTTGTTTTAAAGCTTGACTGTTTGTGACAACTCTTTAGTATTATTTAAGCAGAACTTGTGTATTTGTTTTAGACCCACAACTTTAAAGGTTTTCCTTGGTGTGATTTGTGTGGAAATTTCATGTGGGGGATTATTGCACAAGGTTTGAAGTGTGAAGGTAAGAAAAGGACATGTTTATATTATTTATGTTAGTCTAAAGTTCTAAGAAACTTTTTTAAGTTTGAAATTGAACCCGTTGAAAAAAAAGATATGTTTGTATTAAATAACCTATAATTTGAAGCTTCTAGGAAAATAATTACTCAATATTTGAAAACACACAAATACATTAATCATAAAAAAAAACATCAGAATTAACCCTTTCACGATGGGCTCGGTATAAAATACACAAGTTTGTATACACACATTTGTACATGTTAAGTATTTATACTGTACTTCTTATTTATACTTCTAATGCAGTATGTGTATCTTCACAAAATTTGGTAGACTTTTAGTAAACATTACAAGCCTTTTGTACACAAAAAATCAGATTTTTTAATGAAGTATTTTTACTAAAAATTTGTTTGTGGATATATTGAGTCTGTGTTGTTACCTGTCTGAGTGCAAAGTGATTTTCATGTTATGATTACAAAACTATTCTTCGTCCCAAAAATCTCAAATATCATTTGTATAATATCTAAAACCTCCTCAATACATTTCAAACATTTGTTTTTGGTAAAACTTTATCTGTTATTTTCTCTACCCTAACTCTAAATGGGTTCCATCAATTTGATTGACCTTGTAATAACCACAAAAAAAAATTGAAATACATATAAATTATCATTTTTTTTTCTAGAATTACTTCAAATTGTAGAATGAAACTACATTTGTTTATCATAAGTAGCTTTAAACTCGTAACAGTATACATCTATTTATTGTTTTATTGCCCTGTGATTGCCCTTTGATCAACTAACTACTACAATTCATACCATTATAAGTTGTAAATCACTTGAGAAATGAGGAGCTCACGTTACACTTACACTATCGATTACATTACCCATGAGCTACTTCGAGTCCGAGCTGCTTGTGTGCGTGTCTCATGAAACATTTTTATTATATTATTATTCTTTATTTATTTTACCTTTTTAATTACTTTCATAATAATAATGATAAATAAAGAATACACCTGAAAAAAAAGAAATAAAGTACTTACCCGAGTCTTCTTTTTTTTGCTGTTGACTGTCAATGACACTTAACCCTACTTTTTTTATACTAATAGTAGTAATGCACTAAATAATTTTTATTTAATTAAGTAATGCACCAAAGAACATAGAATAATAACATGTAAAAAACGGAAAATTTCCTCTAACTATCACAATTTTTTTGGCTTTCTAACTATGCAACAAAAACTGTTCCAAGTTCATCTAGGCTAGTTGTTGTCTTTCCCATGGGAACAAAGCTTGTCCTAACAGAGAAATTGATAATTCTCTGTTCAGAAAACAATGTTATATATAATGTCATTTAATAGATGAAACTTTAGCTTTCTATTAGTTATCCATAACGTAAAATTAAATGTGTGAGAGAACTATTAACAAATCTTGAAAGAGAGGATGTAACAGGTGGGTGTGGCAAGAGGAATCTGATTTTCTATTTGATGGCTCTGTAACCAAACAAAAGTAAAGGCTATAAAAATTATGGTTTGTCTGATCAATAATGATTTTATAGTGAGTAACTTATGTTAAATTTCGTACTTATTGGATGGGTGGTGAATAAAATAGAGAAGAGGGGATGGCTTGAAAAAATGTCACATTTCTTGCACTAGGGGAAATTCGGGATTTTTTTAGATACTGATTATTAGCTACGATTTTATGCTATATTAATTGTTATAACATAAACAAGAAGTAGTTTAATTAAATTTGGAAAATAACTTGCTAAAAGACTGTGACATGCACAATTAGACCCACTTTTCGATTAGATTACAATTTTCACAATACAAGAAATGCAGGCTTACCTAATAATGCTAAGACGCTTCTAATTTTTCATTATGCCAGAGTGCAAAGTTAACTTTTGAATTTTTAACATATGATTAATCAATATTAAAATTTTTATGATGGGTATAAACTAAAATTTATCCTTATTAGTGATGCTAATACTTCATGAGTTATCTTGAAGTGAAATTTTTATTGATAGATTAAGCACATTCTAGTTGTTAAAATAATTCGATGAATATGTTGTTCTCCTAGTTAACTTTCAATAAAAATAAATTCTTCTATTTTAATTTTGTAGAGTATTTAACAATTTTATGGACTGAAATAAAATTGTTTTGTCTTAAACAACTGGAGATATATTTTTATGTAAATGTTATAACTACATGGCCTTTCAGGCGGGTTAACCTTTTCGAGACATGTCACAGATGAAAGGCCATGTCATCTCGTGTGTTG